ATAATCAGGTCAGTGCCAGGCAAACAAGATAAGCGCCTATATGAACATTTAGTACACTGCTCTTTGCTGAGGATAAGCATAGTTGGAGAATTTAAGTGCATGTGTCTGCCAACCCTAGTGTCTTAAGTGATTCAGTGGTACATTCAGTGGGGAGTAAAACTGCTATGCAAGCTGTCGGAGGAAGAAAAAAAATGCAGAAAATCTGTGTTGAGAAAGCATCACGTGTTGATGGAATTAAAACATTCTAACATACTGAGTAATTAGAATTGGCCTTTATCAGCTATGTTGGGAGGATATATTGGTTGCTGATGATTTAGCATATCAAACTATGAAAAATGGTCATTGTCACTGTTTTGATAAGGACATTCAGCCAGTAATCTTGTTCGACTGCCCCTGATCCTATATTCTGTGTTTCAATAGCTGTTTACAGGACCAACAATGATGCACTCAGACAGTCATGGCTTTGGTGCTGAAGGTGTTAGAAAATAAGCCAGGATCAATGGAGACAGCATAAGCTTTGCATCAACCTATAGCCAACATGCTGGAAAGGAAATGGTGTGTGATTTATTGATGCTCTTTTTGGTTATTTTTTTGACTTTGCAATAAGCATACACCATAGAGAAAAGCTAGATGGAAAGATAGCTACCGATAGTAAGAATTTGACTGGCTTACACTGATGATAAGCACTGGTTAACAAGGTAGTGGTTTTAGAGATAATGAAACAACTTAAAAAACAAATTAAGGCAGTGTTTATCAGTAGGGCAACCAATCAACAATAAACCTCCCATATAAAATGCCTGAACCTAGTAATTCATCCAAAATAGAAAGACTGAACATCTGGCATCTTTTTTCGAACCTTTGTTTAACATGTCTCTCATCCATTTCCTCTCTCGCATCACTCAAATATCTCTCCAAAAATGTTACAATTGCCTATTGATAGATATATAATTCTGTGTTTCATTCATTCAGACATAAAGAGGTGTAATGACAAACGTTTTACAGCAGGGCAGTAAAAACAGCAGGAGGGTTGTCTGCAGTGGCTCAGTATCTCTAAATAGGAGGGGGATCGATGAGTTTGGTAATTTACAAATGATAGATATGCACAGGTTGGCAAAAAGCTGAGGGGGAGCGGTGCGCTCACACAAACATGCACGCCACATCTCTGGCAAATTCAGCTGCACTGGGGTGCTGCCTGAGGGAGAGTGCATCTTTGCTTAATGTTTTCCCTCAATGGAGCAGAAACACAGTTTGTTTTAGTCCTGTCATGGCATATTGGGGCTTTGCTTGATGGTGAGATGCTCTAATACATACAGATAATCATACACTGATGGTAATAGTAATAAACCACCTTTGTCACAGCACTCAGGCACAGGAGAGTAGAATGGATTAGCATGGGTATTATCCTTCCTTTTTTGGCCATATTTTACTGCTGCTCCACAGTAAGCCAAACTCATTGCATATCCTGCAAACCACATATGGTGCTGTATTAAATATTTGGAGTTTAATCCAGAGTTATGAAGTGGCAAGAGCAGCACTTGGAGGCCCAATGCGGCAAAACAACTTAATGTCAGTCACTAATCTAGTTGCAGGTGTTCAGAGGAGCAGAGCTCAATTAAACCAAATTGGTTTTTATACAGTTATTCAAATTAGTTTAAAATCAAACCCTCTCAAACTTAATACGCTTACCTGAGCATTTTTCCCTTCCCCTCAGCACACTCCCTCCTCGTTTACAGTCAAAATGGGAGGAGCCGGGGAAAAAAAATGAATTTACATTTAAATCAGCCTGGATGGTGAACAAAAATATGATCTGGGTCCATGCTTTTCCCACAGCCTTAATCAAAGTTTTGATGTGATGACACACACCCCATGAGCTGCCCAGCCAGTATCTCCAGAGAGGCCCAAGGTAATAAGTTATTAAGGCGCTGCCCACACTGCAATTAAGCATCAATTAAAACCACAGGTTGTGTGCCTGACACGCACAAACTTTCAAACTTTTCAACTTCGCCCAGACTCCAAGACCTCATCCTTTAGTAGCAATCCGGATAATCGAAGGTTTGGAGAGTATAAATATATTTAAAAAATTCAATAGAATATTAGGAGAGCACATTAAACTATATAGATTTTACAGAGCTCCTGATATCTAAATTTCAACAAACGGACCCTTCATATGCTTCCACTTAAAGGATGTTCTTCATTACATCCTCTCAGAGGTGCAACTGAGATTGTCGAAGTATGAAGGTAAGGTTGAAGCCAGACATGAATCGGACTATCAGAAGAAACATGTCAGACTCACTCTTCTTCTTGTTGGTTCTTGCTGGTTATTTCAAACACCATTTACATTTAAACTCGCAATCTCCATTTACTTTTATTTTCTTTTTGAATTCATTTTTTTTACTTGCTTGAATATCTCCCTTCACATCACACTCACTGGTCCAGTGGAGAGGAGGATCAGTCAAACTGCTCCATTCACCTCATATCAAATCAGAGCTATTTTCCCTCCATATCATTCCTCTCTGGTCTTCTTCCCCATATTGGCGGGGTCTCTAGTGGCCTGAAAACACATCAGTCAGTCAGCCTGCTACAGCCCCCTGTATTCTAATCTCTCAATTTTTCCCTTGATTCTATCTTTGCTTCTGCTTGCTCTGTATTTGTGAATGCCTCAATATGTTCTAGTTGGCGAGGATCAGTCGGATCCGGTGGGAAATGAGCAGAATGTTAACAGAGCCCAAAGCACCTGTGGAAATGATGGCCATGCAGGAATGGGAGGCCAGCTGAGGCTAAGTGAGCCAGCATCGGTGGGTTACTGAGTGAAAAAAGTCAGAAAATCTGCACAGCGTGAGATCGTGCTGGAGGATGTGGAAAAAAATGGGAAAAAACCGCAGTGAGTACGAGAGCTTAGATTTATAATTAAATAACAACAGGCATCAGACAAACTTTTACTGTAAAAAAAACCCAGTTTGGCCTGGCTCACAGTTTTGTGATTCACGTCCCACTCCACATGGAAAACATGCAGAGGAAATTGACATCATGGACTTCAGAGTGTTTATCCTAAGGTGCAACGATCCAGCATGTTGCAAAAAGTACAGTTACCCAAAAGAAGATGTCTGACAAATCCCCTGTGTTTGGAAGACGAGTCTATTGATTTGCATGCAGAAGCAAGCTGCAATTATGCAGAGCAGTAATAAAGTTAAAAGACAACTTCTCTGGAGGACTACCATGTAAACAACTCCTCATTTATAATTTAACAAAGAGACATGGCTCATAGCACATGAAGAGTTTTGAAGGTAATGCATGATACCAAAGGCAAATGTTTTAGTAAGTTTGCTTTAGATCTTTTGGCAAAACGCGAGGTTGTTGTGTGCTCCCTCTACAGCATGACGTTACATCACACATAGCTTCTGTCATCTAGAAACATTTGGCCGCAACCTGCTGTGCTGATGAAAACCCTCAAAGGGAACATTAATGAGCAATTTTCTGATAATACAAACCCATTACCCTTAGCCGGCATAATACCAATAGTTCATTCTGTGTATGTGAACTGCACTGCGTTTTGGTAGGAATAGATTAATACAGAGCATTATTACCTCTGGCTGAGTTTTAAATAAAAGGAGCTGAAAATGATACCATCAAAAGCAGCAAGAAACTAAATTATCATGTTCATTTCCCAGAATTTAAGACCATGGGGATATGATCATATAAAAAGCGAAATATATCAGGAATGGATTTTGAAACAAGATACTCCACTATGGCCAACGACCTGCATGAGTACAAATTCAGCTCTTTTCAGGAGTTTCTAATTTGCCTCAAACATTTTGTCTACAATAAATATTCAACTATTTCATTAGTTGCTTATATTCCAACTGTAAAACTACTATTAAAGAGACATCAAACTCTGACTAATTGAGCAAGTGTCCTTGAAAATTCTTTGCTACCAAAGTTTCAGCAGCCTTCCAGGTGGTTTTCAAACAAAACACACATCTTCTATTTAAACTTTATTAAGGGTCTACTGAAGGAATACTGAATAGTTTGAAGAAATACGAACCATCTTTCAGACTATATATCATTTCACACAGACTGCTAAAGATGAGTCTATATATGAGCCACAAATTAGAAAAATCATTTAGTATATGCAGGGTCCAAAACATATACATCAGAGACAGTAAAAGAGTCATTTATCATCCAACTGAGAGTATGCCCTTACACGAAAAAAAAAATCAAACATAATAGCACATCCCACGTTGATCCTTATTGTCTTCTCGAGTCTTCACATAAATGCATCCATTGTCATGCATGCAGGTCCAATGGATTTTAATCAAATCTTGAAACTTAATTATCTTAAATAAAGAGCACATAAATCAATGTAAGGCTTTTATTCGGTGTCTGATTTGTCATTTGAATGTGTAGAATAAATGTGTCACTCTTTTTAACATTTCCGACCCTTTACCAAACAATGTCTGCAGTGGTTTTGACTCCCAGGAAGCAGACAGTGATTAAACTACATGTTGTGCATGGAAATGTGGAGGTTAGGGAGCCAGGGTGGTTTTATTCCTAATATACACTCGTCGAGACTCAGACGATTATATGTTTTACAACAGCCTGCCGTGATAGATGAGTCTGCACATAGGACTTCACACTTTTTACCCCAGTGTCCCCTTCCATCCAATACACTATTTGCACTGAAGACAGAAACAGTGACAAGCTTTTAAAACATGCTACATTTTAACACAATCCTGTTAGCTTGTTTTTCTTCTACCGGACGTACAGATTGCATAGGAGCTGGGTTTGTGACGGGGACACATTCATCATAGAATGAAATGATGCAAGCTGTTATTGGATGGCAATGTAAAACTCTTCAACTGGGGGTTCTTGAACAGCAAAGAGGAATGGAGGCTATTTCAGTGTTGTAGCTTAGGCTTCCCTGCCAGCAAAGTCCTGTTAGAGGCACTAATATTTAACTGTTGCTGGAAGAGGCTTAATATTTTATTTCTAACGGGGTAAAATAAAGAAATTATTACAAGGTTTCTGTACACGTCTACCTATATATCTAAATAATTCAGGAAAAATGATTTATAAGCTTTCCCAAGGTGTTTTGTCATCTGCTATGACAAGTGTGTCTAAAATAAAGTAAAAGATTTGCTCACAGACCCAGATATATTTTATTCTTAAGATAGTGAACATGCCTGGTAACCTCTGAAAAAAACGCATCTTATGTTACTTTACTGCCACCTATTGTTAGGGTTCAAGACAGCTGTTGAAAACATCCATAAGATTATCAAAAGCTTCCAGAGAAACAAAATTGAAATACATAACAAGAAAAACAACAAAAGGTAAACCTTTTATAGAGCAAGTTATTATATTTGAATATTTGGGCAGGCTTTAAACAATGGAACCCACATGCCATTGCAATACAAAAAACAATCAGCAAGGGTCAAACTACCTTACAATCGATGAAATCATAGGCGCTGACTAATCAAGGTGTCCAGTTGTGGTCAAACTTTTATTTAGGTTAGGGTTGGAAGTTCACTTAAGTCTGTAATCTTCTGATTGCCCCCAATAACATTTTGCATGTCTGTAAATGCCATTCAAAAGTGCAAGGCATAAACATTAAAGGCTACCATCTTCATTTAACTCTGAGACATTTTAAAGATCAGTGGAACATCATTTGTGCTGCAAAGCATATTTAAAGTAAAATCAGAATCGACTGTTCTGGAATGGTAAATGTTAAAAAGTTCTGTTGGGGTAATACGAAAGCACAGATTTAAGTTTGCCGGGATCAAAGAAACAAATTGGTACACACTGCTAATACTACTACAGTAAATAATTCTGTCAGGCCTATGATTTCATGCACAGTTCTCTGCATTAGCCATTTCTTTAAGCAGATAGAAATATTGCATTTCTTTAATTACACCGTTCAGTGATTTTATGAAATAATCTGGTCTTCACAGCATGTACAGGACCTCATGCATGCATACATTCATACATTCATACATACTGTCTTAAAGGCCAGGGCGAAAAATGACTTGTCTGTGATTACATTTATATGTGAAGACGATCAAAGTTTAGAAGATTGTTGGCCTCAGACCAAGCAGGATGCAGGGCTCCATCCATTTCGGTGGCAACTTGGTTGCCACTGTCGAGTGTGTGATTTTCACCACCAATACTAGCGTTGCAATCAGGGCAATTTCGCCTCTCCATAGCTCCTCCACAGTCTGCTATAAGATAGACGTGACCGTTAGGACATTTGTGCCAGTGTCCTGGTTGCATATTCATGGCTGACACAATCATCTTTCTCTCCTCATCACTGATCCCCAGGCCTTTGACTGGAAAGTTTTTATCCAGCTCCATCAGAGCTTCTTTCACTTTTTGCTGGTCTTCCTCAGTGAACTGACCCGACATCTTTAAAACATCTCTGATTTTCTGCACTTCAAACTGCATCTGGTCAGTTTTTCCCACGTTCTCTGCCATTTGGCAACGGGCATTGAGTTCAGCCGTGAGGTTGAGTCTACACAGCTCTCTCTCCAGATCAAAGACCTGTTGGTCTGTGAATTTCTGGTGAGGGCTGTTGAGCCAGTCCAAGTACTGGGTGACGCTCTGTCGAAACACGTAGCCATCCCTGAATAACATTTTTTCCCTTTCAATTTTCGAAAGCTTTGCAAGTCTCGTTAGGAAATCGATCTTGTTTTCCACAACCCACAGGTCATTTGCAGTGAGGTAACTTTGTTTCAGTTTGGACTGGACCTGCATGTACTCCTGTTCCAGATGTACTTCACAGATGGGAAGGTTGTCCTCCCACTTATTTTGAAGCCTGTTTCTTTGCTCCTCAATATTGGGCTGGTGTGCATTTATCTTTTTCTTGACCATCTCTATCTCAGCCAGACAGCGGTTGATATGTAATCCATAGCGAAGATTCTTGCGGATTGGAGTTTTACACCTTGGGCATTCTTTTAGCTTTATAGCCACCTGCTCTCCGTTTGTCTGGCTGTTGTCATCCATCCCCATATAGTGATCCATGGCTGTAGATTCAACGATGTGTCCACAGTCCTCCAGCTGAATGAAGCAGGCCTCCGGCTCGTCTTCAGTGCCAAAGAAGATCTCCGTGACCTCGTCGTGATGACAGATGCGGCATTTCGTTGGGCATTTATCTCCACACAAACCAATGCATCGGTGGCCACAAGTGAGCGGCAGCGTGCAGGGCTGGGTGCACGGCGGGCGGTCGCACGGCTCATGGCAAAGTTTGCCGCAGCGTTGGTGAGGGCACTGCCATGCACAGGGCTCGATACAGGGCGCGCAGGGTTGCCCGCATGGCTTCATGCATTTACTGTGTACGCAGCAGTTTTCGCAGGGCCTCTGACAGGGGGGGCAGTCGCGGGTACAGGGCTCCATGCACTTGTGAGAGCAAACCAGGAGACGCTCGCATCGGCGCGAACAGCGGCTGTGGAAGCGGCCCTGGTAGCACTTCCCGCACGTGCCGGTGCAGGCATGGCCGCATTTCAGCAGGTGCTCACACGGGGCCCTGCATTCTGGCTGCTCTGTTTGCGTCTTGTAAAAGCATTCGCCATTCTGAGTGTGTCCACACTTGAGGTGTAGGGTGACCTTTACCCTGCACTTGCTGCTGCACGGGTCCCCGCAGACCGAGGCGCATGGATGTCCACAACCGAGCAGCTTCTGGCATGGCTCTTGGCATATAAATGTCTCTGGGTCCTGGTGACAAGGTATCATTTGTACATGTTGACACTGAGAAATGATCTTCTCAACCTTCCTGAGGCATTTTTTCGGACATTGTTTATGGCACACAAGCGTGCACCTGTGTCCACGATCACACAAAATCTTCTCGCAATTCTTGACACACTTGAACATCTTGTGCTCCGGATCGTATGGATGACACACTCTTGAACAAACGTGGCCGCAATCCAAGCGAAACCGGCAAGGCTGGGTGCAGCCTCCCTCAGGCGCCTGCTTAAAATCCTCAGCGCTGGATGCTTCTATCTGTCGTTCTGGATGGTTCTGACAGCACAGGGTCAGAGCTTTGCCCATCTGGTCCCTTTCTCTCAAGGTGTGGAAAATGTTGCTCCACAGGCCAACCCTGCTCAGGATCACACTGTTGCCAATGCAGTAAAGACCCTTCTTGGCACGTGACAAGGCTACACAGACACGATTGGGAATGCTCAAGAAGCCAACTTTACCTTGCAAATTGCTACGCACAAGGGACAATATGACAATGTCGTTCTCCTCTCCCTGGTACTTGTCCACAACATGGACTTTGACCCCTGAGAAGTCACTGGCAGGCATTTGTTTGCGCAGACAATGAAGCTGGCCGGTGTAAGTTGTGAGGATGGTGATCTGTTCTGGTTTGTAGTCCTGGAAGAGAAGGTAGCGGCAAAGAGCCACAACAAACTTTGCCTCATGGCTGTTCTGATGGCTTTTTCCGTCTCTGATCTCTTCTTCCGGATGGTTGTGCTCCACAAAAAATAAATTGGTGCTCAGGCCCTGGTAAGATTTAATGAAACACCACATGTTATATCAATATTTCAAACACGTATTGGATTGATTATGTATGTTGAAGCTTATATTTGACACCCCACCTAACCTCAAGTGCATTTAAAAGTCTAGACAACACATATTTATACATACAGGGGAAAACTCAAGCCTACTTGCAGGAAGTAAGAAAGCAGAATTAGCAGAATGTAAGAGATAAAAATAAATAGCTACCTTGATGTTTTCATACTCTAGCACAGAGGGATGGTTTTCTAGCTCTGAGTAGATGTGTGGGGTCAAAAGACGAGCGATGTCTGGCCTCATACGGTGCTGAAGAAGAAAACAAACAGATAAAAAAACAGCAGTGGAATGCAAGGAGGCAAGTACAACACTTAACACACAGACAAACACACTGTAACTTGTATCTTCTGAGTCAAAGGCATCAACAGTGTCTTTCTCTTCACTTTGTAAGCATATTGAATATATTTAGAAGCGCAAACCTGGTAGTTGAGTCTCACATAAGGCAGCCCCATCCTCACCAGTCTCTCAAACATCGACATCTCCAGGTTGAAGTTCTTAGCAAGCTCATAAACTGTGGCACTTGGTCGCAGCTATGGGGAAGAAAAGCATTAATTTAGCCTTCACTCTAACTATTCTAATACAATTCTGTTTTTTACAACTCTGTTTTTTTACTATTAACTCTACAGGTGCACTTTAGTATATTTAAGTCCTGAGTATGACACACAAGTATAAATTGAAATGGTAACTCCTCCTAAACATTAACAGTGCAGTTCAGTGGGGTTACAAACAAGTGACCACAACAATCTACAGACATATTCTTTTTGTTTGTCTTAGATGGTGACTGCATGGGATACTAAACTGTGTGCAAATGATGAACGCCTGTGGGTGTAAGTAGTGTAAGTGTCTATGTGCTTTTGCAAACCTAATTTAGCTGGAGGACAGAACATGATTGTGCAAGAACTGTACAGTATGTGGGAAGGGTGTGGGGGAGGCAAGAAAAATTCTAGTATAAATGTGAACGGCTGTGTTCTGCTCGATTCAACACCAGACGTGATTAATGAACAAAACAACAATACCACAGCTTATTCTGCTCAGAAAGTGTGATCCATCCACCTCCGTGACAGAGTGAAGATAGGAATCCATTGGAGCTCTTTATGGAGTTAGAGTCATGGCAAACACTTTGAGCCTTTGGGATAACTTACCTGCTTTGGTTTTTACACTATTCTTTGGACTACAGCTGCTTATGTTTATAGTAATTTGATTGATCCCCTCTAAAAGAAAATCATCCATCCATCTATTTGCAATGACAGCTTATTACAGGTAGGGAGCATTTTGCAAAAACGTGGGGAATTCAGCCTGCCAGTTCATCACAGAGCCACTCAGAGACGTACGAGACAAACAACCATTGTTTACATATAGATTCATTTGTAATTCACAAATAGCCTCTGGCAAATGCAACTTCAAAAATATGAAGCAAATAACTGAAATAGTACTCTGTAGCACTTGATTTCAAGAGCTCAAAGCCTTGTTAACAATGAAAGGTGCAAACAGTATTTTAAGATGATTAAAACCCCATGAGAACTGTTATGGGGTAAAGTCGTTTAATGTTCAGTAGAGTGTATAAAGCCATGAATAAACAGGGAACAACATGTAAATGTAGGTTTAGAGCAGAGAGAGGATATACATCTAGAAGGGACCAGGACAGAATGATGAGATGTGTGATGGAACTGTCTGTAGTTGTGATCACATGCTGCAGATTGCTAGACAGGCTGCCTTGCCATATGTGCTTGGCAAGCCCTGACAAGTTTTTGTATAATAGTCTAGTGATGTCCAGAATGTCATTCTTAATTCGTCTCTGCCATCTCTTGTAACAGTTAACTTTTTGCCTTAATCTGAACTGTTATCTTTTATATACAGTATAATTTGTTTTTATTCGCCTTTAGGCAACATGCATATTAGGCTTTATAACGTCCCCCAGGCATGTGAAAGGAAAAACTTCAGAAGAGTTATATCAACATCATAGTCATGCTCAGTTTAGTTGAATACAGGCCGGTTAAGGGTTATGGGAGCTCTTACCTGTTGGTGGTCTCCGATGAGGATGAGGTGCTGACATGCTCTGCTGAGTGTGGTGATGGTGTGGGCTTCCAGAACCTCTGCAGCCTCTTCTACAATCACCACTCGAGGAGATACCTCCTGCAGAGCTTCGCGGAACTTTGCAGCCCCCGTTGTTGTCATACCAATAACCTGATGGGTCGAATGTGCATTCATTTTCATACTATCATATTTATATCAATTCAGGACTAATTATGTATGATGAACTTTATTTTTGGACATACAGGTTTTACACTTCTGATTCTAATAAAGGAAAATGTATGTGTTTTGGGGACTGTGTTCACCTCAACAAATCATACGAGCTTTAATGTTTATCGTTATTTAAATTTGAAAAAAGCTATTCTGGCTGCATAATTTTCGATTTATGAGATAATATAATAAGAAATTATTTGCTGGAGTAAAAACACTGTAATGGCCTCAGTACTTCCTCCAGTGACAGGTGCTGTTGTACGGAGGAATGTGCATGTGTACTGCAATATCTTCGACATCAGAAATTCTGTTTTTATGTCTATTATTAGCTGCATCAGTTGGCACCAAGACTAAAAAGCTCACAATTTTACTACTAGACATTGTAGTAAAGAAGGGATCCGGGAGATACTCATAAAAACATGATTATAAAATAGTTTTGTTATTCTTTACCGTGGCTCTCTTGAGGATTTGAAGGTTCTCTCGTCTTTTTACGTCAGACAGTCTGTCCACTGCATTCTGATAGGCCTGTTCAGACACCAGGGCTTTGGTACGAAGCTCAACTCTGTAGCGTGTCACCCACAACCTACAGACACACAGTAAATTACTCAGAATATAGTGGAAAAAATGACCTCATTCACATAAGTGAATCTGCTTTGGCCTATTTGCTCGTTTAAATGATCAACATGACCCACAATTCTGTTTTCACGGTAGAGGATGTGTGGCGTTACATCTATCCCCAGTGGTAAGATCTCTAGGGATCAATTTTCCTTGTGATTAGTTAACTAAATTACACACTCTGGGAATATACCACTATTACTAGACTAATGTGGCTGAGAGGACAGAAGGGGTGGAGCTGAATAAGGAGGAAAACATTTTAAAGTAATTTTATCAGAGATGACATAAGGGAACAGTTTAGGTAGGGGTCGGTTGGAAAAAAACCTATTGACACATACCGATACAATCTCCATCTGTCCTCCAGACTGAGACTCCAAACATCGTAGATGCTATCCTCCTCTTCCTCAGGCATAGCTGAGGACTTCCCCAACTCTTTCCGGATTTTGCTCTTCATCTTTTTCCTCTGGTTCCGTTGAATCTGCATTGATCAGCAGAGGGTCAACTTTAATCTGCAGAACTTCAGTTCATTAACGTAGGAGATATAGTTGCTCCCTTATCTGGTATATAATTCATTAGTCACAAAATGTAGCGTGTAGACTTTAATTTGGATGCAGTTTGAAAGGTAGATTGTTTAAAGGGAGTAACTTATGTGGATCATTTAGAAACACAAAGGTGAGGAAGATCATGCTGCTGTAATTGTTTTAGAAGCCTTTGTGAACATTCTGTAACAGTTGCTATTGGAAACCACAGCTAACTGTTGTGTTAAATTAAACAAGCTGAATTTTCAATTTAAGCCTAACCACTGCACTAAGTAATCAAAACATTTTAATGCTACACTGTTCTGTTAAAAGGAGCTATGAGTAGCTTACAACCATGAGTTGATGTGTGCGGAGCTGGTGAACTGGTTCACATATTTGCTAATTGCATTAGGCCTCACCTGTGGGTAACATTTGGTGGCAATAACATGCCAAATCAAAAGATGCCTCAGTAAACGGAAGAAGAAGATCTAAATCACACGGCAGGATTATCTTATGAAATGTTACTGGAAAGGAAAATGCCCAAACGGTAACCTCTTAATGTTACCTGCCATCCTCCTTCAGTCGGTTCTGCCTGTATGTCAGCCTTGTCCAGGTTCATAGCCAGCATCAGTTCCTCCACCTCTCTGACAGTCTCCTCCATTTCTCTTTTCTTCCTGTCGTCTCTGCCAGCTCCGGCACCAACTGTCCAGTCGCTGTCAATCATCCGCTCCTCTTGGATCAGTTCAGCCTCCTCTGCTATGTCAATGAGGTCCTCTTCCTGCTCCATTTCAGCCTCTGTCGTATTGAACATATTGATAGAATGTGTATAAGAATGATCAAAATCAAGCGATACGTAAAATAAACTGTACACACACACTCACAGTCACTTGAAGGGGCAATTTGGAGTGTCCAATTAACCTAACATGCATGCTCTTGGATGCTGGGAGGAAGCATCCACATTTGAAGCTCATTATTAAAGTTTCGAAACACTAATTATCAAATTATTTTACACTGTTCCAGTGGAGCATGACTGATTGGAAATGACCAACCTTCGTTTGTATTTGCATTCTCTGCCTCCCTCTGCTGGATGACGGTGGAACCCAAACCCAACCACTCCATCATCAGACTGGGCTTCTCGTTGCGTGTCATAAACATATCCTCCATCTAAGAGTAATGGCAAATTCAAAATTTGGCACTAACTTGCATTCTCTTTACGGATGTTCTTGAAATGGCTCTTTTTTTATTTTTCGCTCTGTGGGACTTACATTTAGTGAACTGAGACTGTCCCAGTGTACGTCTGAAATGAACCTCTGCAAGAAACTTTCCCGCATTACACCTTTCAGAGAGCACTCCAGTTTCACACTATGGGTTTGGATCTCCCATGCCGTCTCACTCAGCTCCTTGTGAATCTGTGAAACAGACGGGAGAAATAATGACTGATTGTGTGCAACATTCAAAAGCCAGACCACAGAGGTAGAAAATGCTCAATTATATGTAATATCAAATAAATATCATTTAAAAGTGAGTGTCTTTATCTGATGGTACAAATAACATAAATAAATGTACCATAACTTAAACTTTTACAATGCATCTTATAAAAACATGAATTTACCTGACTGTATGCTGAACGCAGGTGAGATGGAAGTGACTGTCTAAAGAGACGTGAGTGCGTCAGCTCCCGCAGATTAAATGGTTTCAGGATCTCACTATTGCTGCGACCTCCCACTCTGACAATGCCGTGTTTCAGAAATTTGTAAATACCTGAGAGGCAGAGGTGAACTTAATCACAATCCATCTTATACACATTGTGTTTTTAATACAATTTCAAGTCCAGATATCCCCCCCAAAAAGTAGCTGTCTGGTTAACCAATTTTATTTTGACTGGATGCAAATGTTGTCTTTCTGACCATGCTTTAATAAATAAAAACACAACAGGCAAGGACTTTATGTGATATGCAATCATGACTTACCCTCAAGGAATTGATCAAGGGCGTGGTTGGTGTAACACACAACCAGCATCGGAGCTTTGTCCTCATCATGACTCCAGACATCCTTATTATGCAACAAAGCCTGAGCAATCTTTAGGCCAACATACGTTTTTCCTGCAAACAGAAAAAACCCAACAGCAATGTTTTGTTATATAAAAAGGGTTATTTTCTTAGTTTTTTTTCTTCTTCTCTTTCCAAATGTGACTGGATTCTTAAGAGCAGCGATTCTTTTTTTGATCTTCGGCCACTTAGAATCCAGGTGTGCAAAAATATGAGTACATTTGTATGTTAATGTTTCGTTCAGAAATGGATATGTCACTCAAAGCTTTAAAATGTTTGTACCAGTGCCAGGAGGTCCTTGTATTATTGCCAACTCCTTGGTGATGGCCAGCTGGAAGGCACTCATCTGAGACTCATCAAGGCCCAGCTCATCCATTTTTGGCCAGGCCTGTAGGTCCAGGCAGCTAAAAGGCTGCATGCTCGCTTTGTAGAGGGGTTCGGCAATGGTAGACAGGTTATAGACATCACCTAGATGTAAATAAGCCGGTGGATGCACATCTGTGCTACACTCCACAATGTATCTGAAAGAAGATGGGTCCTTGTGATTACGTCACATCAACAAAATGAGCTCTCTTGATTTAAAACTCAATCAAATACAAGATTGTTTTATTATCAGGCAAATTAAATTTGCTCGACAGCAGCCATTGTGTTGGCTAAAATCAGCAGACATCATCCATCTTACGGCAGAACTCAGTAGATCAAAGCAGAGGATTAATGAGAAACTTCTGAATGTACTGAATTGAAAGGCCGAGCATTCAAACTTGAATTTATAAAGAATTATGTGGGAAGCATGGTTTGGGCAACAACATAATTTCTTATCACATTTATAGGGATATTAAAAATGTTTGTTTGTGTGCAGGTTTAAACGAAAGTAGGAAATGGAAGCTGGAGCACGAGGAAAAGAAGAGCCCACTAACTTTGGAGAGGATTGGGAACCTTTTTCATTAAAAATTGCAAAATGCACATTTAGCCTTGGCAGAGGGAGCACACTGAATACTCTTGCCAACTAATTCCAATTAAGAATTTGAATGCAGAACTGGCTTTGTCATTTTTCCCTCTCCGATGCTTTTTTTTTAGTCAAAACTGTCATTTTATCTATTCCTACAGAGCTGTGGTATTTCATAAAGTAAATATGAAAACAACGGTAAAATACTAAAGCACACAGACACTCACCTCTGAAAAGGCAGGTTTTCCTCCGTCTGCTCCTTTAAGCCCTCTAGAACATAGCGGTAGGCTTCAAAGTAAGCAGTGGTCTCAACCATCAGAAACGACTGATCTGTCTGTTTAAAGAGGAAGACGGTTGTGGTAAGATATCCATTTCACAGGTTTTAGATTGCAATGCTGTGTGAGTGACACTATTATTTGTATTTAAATTTAAAATGCGATATTAACTACATGCGCTTTCCGTTTGCTGTCACCTGAATTCTGGCCAACTTGATTCTGCTTTCCTCTGTGAAGGTAATCTGGACTTGTCCGTTTTGCAAGTCTTTGGGGTCTCGATCTGACACTGTCGCAAACAAGAAGCTCTCAAAATTATCATACGAAAGGCAAACCAAGGAACCAAAGAGCAGCCTCTTCGAGTTCTGCCAGCGTACAAACTAAAGAGAAAAGAATGGCAAAAATATTATGAAGAGGTATTTAGATGCTTCGACTGCCGTGGAAGCATTAAGCCAATATTTTAAAACATGTTAAGACTTCTAGAGTCAAACCTTAAGTGGCTGAATGTCAAACTGGACGATGTAAGCCAGGCCCGTATGCGTGCACTTTGGCACGACCAGCTGCGTGTCAAAATAGACGCGAATATCGTCAAAACGCTTCGTCCTGGCTGGGTTATCAGTCCTCCCCATGTCCAGCTGGCTCTGAAGCAACTGCTGGATCCCCTCACGGAGTGGACGCACAAAGTCCTCTCTGAGCAGCCGGAAGTGCGTATCCAGGTAGAGGTGGGTATTTGTGTACCGCTGAGAGGTCAGGTTGGGTCTAAGAAAAGGCCTGTGTTCCTGGTGGAACTCCTCTGGAGTTGGGTAGAGCGGTATGGTTCTGAAATCCTCGTGGTCCTCTTCATCTGGGTTAGAAGCAACATTAAAAAAAACTTGAGTTTCTTAAAATACGTTAAAGAGATTCAAAATGAGACATCATTTCCATTGGAAGCATCTTTACAAAGACCATTACCCGGGTTATCACCGCCAGTGGGTAGCAGTGCGTAAGTATCCCTGTCTGAGCGCAGGGTGCCCTCCCTGGACCTCTCTTGGAGATGCTCAACCAGGCCTTTAAGATTTTCCATGTTTTCTTCCATTTGAGGCTGAATGTTTTCACCTGATGCTCTGAGGCTGTTTATAGAGGCTTCAAGCAGGGTCAGTAGGATACTCACTGACTTGACAGAGCTTGCAGGGAAGACGTTAAGCACCTATCAAAACACAATTTGAAAACAGAAGATAAAGCCTGTGGAAAGTAAATTAAGAGACCAGCACAAAAATGTAGCAATGTATCAGCCAACAGAGAGAACTGTGTTTCATTGAACTTGGGAGTCAAACTATTTACCTTTTTTTTAATCAATTTTCTGTTCAAGATTTTTAGGGGTGAAATCTAAGCCAAACAGATGTTGGCTCGGCCTCTACGACTGTTATGAGCGTATCTCAGACGAGCCAAACACGTCATGACGCCTACTAACCACTCTGCCTTCAATATACAGACGTGTTACTGGATGCCAAAAATGCTAAACTGTGCAGGAAATTGCACTTAGTACCATCCCACAAAGACATCCCCTATGATTTACTGTATCTGTTTTCAGTGCAACATTCTTTTTTTATTTTCCACGTATTACTTAATTTATCTTCATCTTAACTCACTGCTCTTACTCTTTCAACTATTTGTTTTTTTTATTTACCTCTGCGAGAATAGCCAGGATGTATTGCAGCTGTTGTGGATATTGCCTTCTGTGGACAGGGTTGGGCTCGGACACCATACCCCCCACGTACAGAAGCAGGGTGTTTTGGAAGAACGTTGAATCTTTAATTAAACCAGCAAGGTGCTGCAGGGTACCCCTCTCTGTCCGTGATGTGAAGGCTTTGTTCAGCACCAGGCAGAGAAGCTGGATCATGTCACGTCTCATCGGTGTCTCACACAGGGTTGCACGAAAGCCCGGGTTTGAGGAGAGTGTAATGGCCACGATAGACGGGTCCTCTTCAGAGAGTTCCTCCAGTGCTCTATAGCCCAGTTTACGAACCTGTGACCCCTCTCTTTGTTCATCCCTGAAGCCTTCTCTTCTGTTCCCACTGTATCCTCCCCTCCTCTCACCAATTCTCGCCATCTCCACTCTCACACCTCCAGCTCCACCAGGCCGTCCATTTCTTCCCTGTTGCTGCCATTCTGCTCCTTCCTCTCTGTTTTCCCCCCTCCCTCCTCTCCTCTGTCCATCTCTTTCCCCCCCTCTTTGTGTGTCTGCTCCTCCTCTTGGTATACCTCTCCCTCTCCCTCTCACCCCCTCGCCTGCGCCTCCTGCCTCCACAAAAGCCCCTGCTCCTGCTCCTCCACCTCTTCCTCTTCCTCCTCTGCCTCTACCTCGACCACGCATCCCTCCACCCCTGCCATTCCACCCTTCCTCCCTTTCTCCTTGATTGCCCCCTCGACTTCTTGCTCTTCTTCTCTCTTGGTCTCTCATCCTGTCGCCTCCTGGTCTCCTCGCTCTTTCTCCACGAGCATTCTCATTTTGGCCACCGTCAGAATCTAGGAGAAATATCAAATTCACACAGTGAGACACAGAGAGTTAACTCTCTGATGCCTAGACCTTTGTGGTACATCTGTATTTGCTTGCCCCACTGTGCTTTATAGTTACCATTACTAATTCCTCTTCTCCCTGTTGCCAGAGTTAGCCTTTCCATTCTCCTGCATGCGGTAGCTGTTGAACATTAGGTTGGTGAAGAAAAGAAATGAAAATCAGATTTCAACACATGGGGGGAAAAGTTAATCAAGACAAATAAATGAACCCCACAGAAACAGAAAACCTCACGTAGCACTTTAATGGGAAAAGGTTGATGTCACTGCAAAAGACCGTAATCAGTTCATGAATTTTCCTCCCATCTCACAATCAGCATTATTTCTAAGGTCAAGGAAGATGGGTTTACTGTCTCACTGCTTAATGGTCTTGGATTAAATCAAAGCACCCTCTCTGTTTAGTTATGTCTGCAGCCATGTGCGCACATTTTCTGTGACAGGAATACACTGTAGATCTTAAATGTAGAAGCCCATGCTGAGATGACTATGACTAAGCCAAATGGAAAGTGTGCCCTCTACTGGATATTTGTCCCCGGGAGTGTAGGTTTCATTTTACAGGAAACGGAGAACTCGTAACTACACGTCGTGTTATTGGCATGTTATGACATTTAATCGAAAATCCCTCAGGTCTTCCTTGGGTTTCACCCCAAGAATAATCTTAAAACATTATTAATACCCTATCAGAGTTGCTACTTTTCATGATTCAGCTCTCGTGCTTTAATATCTCTTTGTTACTTATCCTACAAGTAAGACTGTCGGTTTATGGTTACTTTAATATACACAAGTCCGATTTTTATAAACGATACAATACAATATACGTATTTATCAATTATTAATAAATACGCCTAACTTCAGGAAACACCGTGTTGTGTTGTGGGGCGTGGAAAAAATAACTTACCTTGGCAATAAAAAAAATCCCTTGACTAAAGAAATATTTACAAAGAAAATTTAACAAATATCGTTTCCCTGTTGAGGTCTTGGACTCCTCGGTCGTAAGCTCCCCCGTTTCGGAATATCTGACTACACAGTTCAGGAAGCTGTTTTTTTAAGTGCATCTTAGTTTTCGTTTTCGTTTCATCAGAAGAACACACCCACCTACAGGACAGCCTGTAGCAACAAACAGTGACAACAAAAACATGATGAGACTTCACTAGATGGCGGTTGCAAGGATAGAGACTTTGATCAAAGACAGGATCGATCTTGAAAATAAGAACTGAATGTCAGAATAAGACAGACGGGGGACAAGAATTCAAGGTTGGCCTTCAGCCGGACGCTGCATTACTCTACTTCCTCCAGAAGGGGGCGCAACACCCAACCAGTTTACAGCTGTGCTCTTAAGGAAACTGTTCAGCCATGTCTTATTTAGATTATTGCATGCAGGCCTCTAATATTCTTCACTCCTGCTTTCCTGACTTTCCTAATAGGTTAAGATAGCCCACATCTATGCTTATGTTTATGTTTAGGCATTATGCAGACGCTTTTATCCAAAGCGTCTTTCAAAGTAGACACACTTTTACAGTTATCATCAATATGAAAATAAGTTCTCTAAAGGAAAATCCCTTGTCAAATCTACAGTTTTATTTGACCTGCCATTGGCCTTGGTGCTGATTTAGGATGAGTGTTAATTAATTAATCTCACATATCCATCAAACAAGGCCTAAAGATGCCTTGTGTCACAGGATCAAATCTTAAAGCAATTGTTTTATCCAGTGACAAGCTTGTGACATTTAGGAGGCATTTGAGCACCTCCTTTTAAAATATACTACTATTTAACTGAGCCACAAATTCCCCAAACCAGTCTAGATTAGACCAAAAATGTCTGCCAGCAGACATTTTTTAAGTTGCTCAGTTAGGTTCTTAACACGGACCTGCCAGATGTCTTGTAATGCATATTTCACAAATGTATGTCCTGTTCTAAACTTTATCATTCTTGTGTTGATTCATATTCATTATCAGCTCTTAAACTACTTTTATGGCAAACAGGGTCCGGGATATTCACTCCTCCCCTCTCTCATTAGTCTCACTCATATGAGCCTACGTCATCACTGAGTATTAGCCGGGAAGCTAGCGTGCTCTGGTACTAGTTCTCCCCCCCGTCTGTGTAAACATGTAGCCTTTTTGTTGTTGGAACTGTATCACTTTTAGCGATTTCAGTGTCCCGTGTGATAATGGCCATGTGGAAGGAAGTCTCATTTCGGAAAAGAATGCGGTGTGACGTTTGCTCGTTAACTAGCTAACACAATAGCTAACTATCCGGCTGTTTCCCTATGAGACTGCCCTTGCTAATTAGACAGCTAGCTAGCTTCCAATGTCGGCGTCCGAAAACGAGGTTTGACACACAGTAAGGATGGCGAATACTTGTATTTAACAAGGACGTATAAAGAAGTGGAGAGAGATGGAGAAACCTAGACGTGATGGTGCATCATCCCCACGGAACGGAAGGCAAGGTAACGGTTACCAAGTCTGTCCTTTGAAGTCACCTGAGCCAAGTCTGGGCTGTCATGTTGTAGTGACTTAGAAATTGTCCCCATGCTGTTTGCACGAGTACAAATAAGACATGGACCTGTTTGCTGTGTGAAAGCTGGAAGTCACTCCAAACCCGGTCTCCTTGCTTTAGATGGGGACACCAGGCGGAAGAGGAAAACTGCGGACATCTCGCAGGCCCTCAGTGCGAATCCAGTGGACGTAGCAACTCTGAGGAGGATGGCTATCAGTGAAGGAGGACTGCTGACCGACGAGATACGCTGCCAGGTCTGGCCCAGGCTCCTCAACGTGGCCCCTCACCTCCTGGATCAAGATCCTGGTACCATTTATACCGTTCGTGCTTACCTTTGCAGATATTTGCCTTAAGTGTGCAGGGAGGGGGGTCTTTGTGGAAGACAAATTCTTTCCAATGTGCACAGAAAAAAAACTGTATTATTCTTTAGAACAGTTTTAACCATTAGCTATGACTAGTGTTGGCATGCTGAGGCAAAGCTACTGCAAGTTCTTTTGCATAGTTTTGGCTAATAGTAGTGTCTCTTTTTTAGAAACAGTGGAGCGGGAAAACAATAAGGACTACAACCAGGTCTTGTTGGATGTCCAGCGTTCACTACGAAGGTTTCCTCCAGGTGAGTTTAAGTCACAAGTGCCATAATGATTGTTATAAATCACACTACTTTATTAGCAGTGCAGTCTTGTGTAATCCAGCTCAAAATCCTTGTGACAAATATAGCTTAGTTTATTACATGCCGTTTAGAACGAACACAATTATTAGGTAATTAGTGAATCCCAGCCATGTTTTTTCATAGTTTGGAAATGCTCATGGGCCATTGGATAGATTTTTGTGGGTAGCTGACATGGCTCTCAGGACGAATAACACAGTCATCATTTAGGATTGCAGACATTGTGTTCCTTGCACTACTTGAATCTTTGCCAAATCCTTTCATAAGTATTTGTTCTGTAATTGAGATTTGTCGATGTAACGCCACACTCAAAGGAGCTGGACAAACAACATTTTCTGGAAGGGCGTAGAGTGTCCCTGCTTTGGATATTTCAGGGTGCCTAAATGCTAATCTTATTGTACTCTGGTCTGTGCCAGTGACTGAGTGGAGTTTTGTAATGCTGATTATTTTTCTAAGTTATAGATAAAGATGCTTTATCTAGGCCATGATAATATTTGAATCAAATAGTTTTATACAGAACATGTGCATGTTGATTATTAATTGAATCATTCTTTTTTTTTTAAGATTATTGACCCGCAGATAAATGCAATGAATGTAGCCATTCATTTTCCCTGATAACTCTGATGACCAGATTTCCTGAGATAAGGAATACTGTTTGTTGCTTAAAAAAAAACGTATGGCATTAATATTTTATGCATCTTTTTACTCTTTCTTGTCCACAGTGCACCAACAGACTACTTTTTTTAAAAAGAATGCCCTGTTCTGACTTGAGTTTTCTGCAGTAAAAGCTGTTGTTCTGTCTTTCAACAGCGTAAATCTGTGCCTGTAAATTAGGTCCCAACTGGTTTGGAGATGTTTGTTTTGCTGCACATTTGATTACTTCTACTATCTTGGAAACTGGATTGTATTTCCAAAGGATACAAAAGTAAACAGAGCAATTAAGTATTATTGGACTTGTTCAGGAATGCCAGACGAGCAGAGAGAAGGTCTTCAGGAGGAGCTTATCGACATCATCCTCAGAGTTCTGAAGCGTAATCCACAGCTGCATTATTACCAAGGATACCACGACATCGTCGTCACCTTTTTATTGGTCGTGGGAGAGCGCATGGCAACTGCTCTCGTAGAGAAGCTCTCAACACATCACCTCAGGTAGTTACTATTTATACAGATCAATCAGCAGGTTTTCCACTTTGTGACCTCTTCTCTCAGCTTCACATTATCTTTAGTGTCCCAGACGACTCTCAGTGTCATGATGGCCCTAACCCTAACCCTTTATGTTATGTCCTTTTGCCCAGGGATTTCATGGATCCCACAATGGATAACACTAAGCACATTCTTAATTATCTGATGCCCATCATTGAACGAGTCAACCCAGAGGTTCATGACTTCATGCAGCAGTAAGACTCTTTTTTTTTTTCTCCCATCTCCCAATTTATTCTCAGATAGAATATGCATCTTTGATAAGAATGGGCTTGATATGTATGGACTGGAATCATCAGCCAACTTATTTACTTTACATTAAATGTGGCATTCATGTGCTTGCATGCTCAGACAGTAATTTTGTAAACAATTTAAGTCATGCACATTTTTGTAGCTTTAAAATGAAGTCTTTAGTAACATTTGCGTATATTAAAGCATCTTTCCAGAAAAAGAGCTAAAATTAATATTGAGCTTCATGATTCTCATCTGGGAAGTTGACTGCATTTTAGGTGAAGGTTCTCTGATCTTTACCAGCACACTGATCCCATTATGACAGCTTAGGTTTGGACTGTAAACAACACGTCATTCAGTCCCTCACTCTGAGGGCTAACCTGACCGTCAGTCTGCGAGCCCGCCCAGCCCTAAAGCCATTCGTTTTATATGCCGCATACCAATGTTGTGTTTTAGCTGATCTCCCTGGAATTCATCTTTTGCTTCTTAGGGCTGAGGTAGGAACTGTCTTCGCTCTCAGCTGGCTAATCACTTGGTTTGGCCACGTGTTATCAGACTTCCGCCACGTTGTACGGTTGTATGACTTCTTCTTGGCCTGTCATCCGTTGATGCCCATTTACTTTGCTGCTGTGGTGAGTTTTCTGCAATCAATATTATTTTCCCACAGGTAATGAATTAGACAGTAGGCTTTTATTGACTGTTCTTCTCACATGTCTACTTATAACCAAACCCTCTCCAAAATACATTGTTGTGGCTCTCATATGTTGAATAATTAAACAGATTTTTGGGTCATAAAATTTTTTACTTGAGACTTTCTGTACAATCGACAGAACAAAACAGTGTCCTGTTTTGGTCATAGTTTGGTCATATAATGAGATCATAATCCCATCTGCAGTTAAAGCAACACATAAGATATGAAAAGACCAATGTGTCACAAAATTGTCTGCCTAGATTTTTACTAAAATGTAAGCTGGAACGTAATGAATGCTTGGACCTGTCAGTGTGGACTTTTAGAAATATGTGCGTGTGTTTGGTTTTTTTGTTTCAGATCGTGCTACACAGAGAGGAAGAGGTGTTGGAATGTGAATGCGATATGGCCATGGTCCACCACCTACTGTCTCAGATTCCTCAGGATCTGCCGTATGAGACACTCATCAGCCGGGCAGGAGACCTCTTTGTCCAGTTTCCTCCATCGGAACTGGCAAGAGAGGCTGCTGCACATGAAAGGTACTGAAGTCCTTGGGGTTAGCACATGTGAGCACATTGCCCTTATGGACTGTACCTGCATTAGTCTTATGACCATTGTTTCTTTGGCACTGCATATAGTAACACTGTCTTTTGTTATACAGAACTGTTTAAAAAGTCTTGAGCGAGTCTCCCATTTCTTATTTATACAACGTTTTAGCTCTAGATTAAAGATCTCCAAATCTAGTCCTCAAGGTTTAAGATGTTTCTAAACACCTGATTTAAAATAAATACATGTCTTCGCAAGATTAAGTTCTTAGATAGTTTTTCCAATGGTGCTTTGATTTGAATCAGGTGTACACTCTATACACCGTATTAGAATGTTCTTATTTTATGGCTCTTTTGTCTGTCGGTGTAAAACTATAATTCTATTATCTGATTTAAAGTTATTTCTACAAATGTTTTTTTTCATGAACGTAAAAAGGGTGACCATATTATTTGTCTAACACAACATTTTCAAATAGATGTTTATACTGTTTTTCAATTGTTCTGTTGAAGACTCATACAAATTTTTAAACAAGCTAAAGTTTAGAACGTGCCTGAATGGTCAACTTGGACTATAGTTGGAAAAATTCAGAGAGCCTCAGGGTCAAAATTTAGGAAAAAAGCATATAGAAATTATGGAAGGCTCTAGACTTTTACACAATTCTGTTTCAAGTTATATTCACTTTGACTTATTTTCTGCTTCTCACAAACTGCGGTCACATGCTGATCTTCCATTAACACTTTCACTTTCTTTCTTGGCTCTCTCTGTTTGTTTCTGTCCTTTTCCTCTCAAGCATGGCAGCATCTACCTTTAAGGACTTTGAACTTGCCTCGACTCAACAGCGGCCAGATTCAGTTCTTCGCCGCAGACGGAGACAAAAGCAGGCGGCCCTGGAGAGCTCCACAGTGAGCCCAGTAGGGGCAGTTTCTCAACCCTCCACAGCGCGGCGCTTTATGAGGTTGGCAGTGATGGGTCTGACTGTGGCTTTAGGGGCAGCAGCTCTCGCTGTGGTTAATACTGCTCTTGAGTGGGCCCCCAAACTGGACTTGTTTCCTTGAACTGCCAAAACTCCACCGTACATGTCTTCAAGTGAATCGAGCTGGTTGATCTGGTTCCAAGAACCCCTTTATTAAGTTCAACCACAATTTGTGGAGTCTGTAACACTGGAACATATTCGCTGAACTGAACATCTTAATGCTCCTCTTTTGCCATGAAAGATGCTTCAAAATGTTGCTGGTCGTTATGGAGGTTGTGAGACCTGACCCTCCTGTTGTCATTCCTGGAGAGTGTTTAACAACATAGCAGCTGATAGTGCCCTGAGATGAAGAAGTTTTCTTGTTGTAATGAGGAGGCGGTTTCGAAGGACTATTATTTATAGTTTCATCTTTGAAGGCTATTTAAATTTCATATTAAGATATATGATATGGTGTTATACTCACAGAGATTTATGCTGAAAACCTGCTCTACTCACTACACTTGAAGCTGTTGCCAATTTAGAGAGCTTGAGAGAATGTATGTGTGAATGCAATTCATTTAGCTATTTTATACCTGGACTGAGACCAAATTGAGGATTCTTTGAATTCTCTCTTTGTAAAATGTAGTATTTATTTTTAAGGGTATGTAAGTAAATGAACAAACATGGGCCGTCATTTCATTGTTTTTTTTGGTTGTTTTTTTAAAGTCAATTTGTCCGTTTGAGTTTCTTGAATTGGTCTTCGTCTTTGCAGAGAAGATGCTGTTGCCCTTTATTACTCATTAGTTTTAGCTCATGATGGGGCCCAGCTGAATTCATCTGTGGAAGGGGAGTGACATATTTCACTGGCGTCACTAAAGGAAATATAGTTTAGCCCACTTGAGTGTTAGGTTTTGTTCCTCAAAAAATAAATCTGGAGATTAGCCCCCAGATTTAGAATGCAGCTTTCACAATCAAGGAATAAAACAGTCTAACATATCATTGTGGATTACCAACATTCTGATGACCTAAAGGTATGGTTAGACAACCTTAAAAATGTGTTCATGTGCCATGCCCCCAATGAAGAGTGTGTGCTTTCTTTGGCTCTTTTTCCAGTACACGCTATCAAAATTTATAGGATTCAGAAAACTTCCGCTTTAAGCCAACTCCTAGTGACAGAAATAATTCAGTGTATGATAAATGGATGGAAAGTCATATGTTTTCATAGGCACAGGGAGGAATTCAGTTTGCACTTAATGCAAAATCACTTTTAAATTGACTGGTGCTTTGCTTACTTATGTTGGGAGGGGGTTCCTCATTGAGAGACACACCTCAACCCTCTGATGAATGCTGATAAAATAGTTTGAGCTCCATTTGAAGATATGCAACTGTAAATTAAATTGTGTCAAGTATAGAATGTACAGCAATTGTAGTAATGTTACAGTTCAGGGTGTTTACCATTCAGTCATGCTTTTAAGAATCAGTTTCAGTGGCTTTGCACTCACCTAAATACGCTTAACAGTAATTACAGGAGCAATTAGTTTGTAAGAACACAGTTAATTTGACCTTTTTTGTATTATTTTTGTAATTTGCTTTGCATTTACTTTCACGGTTTTGATCCCTGAGTTGCGGGTCATCAGCATTTATCGGCACAAATAGTCAACAAAGAACTTTGCACTTCAGTTAGGCTCCACAGTAATGTTAAGAGATGCTATTTTATCTATAATCACCACAAAACACTGAACACTGTTGCCCTTTATAGTGAACCACGGTGTTGGCTAATAAACGCTAATCAAAATGAAAGAAACCTGGCACCAACAACAGCTTTTGGCTCTGGGAGCACAGCAGCTCTCCGTTTGTGTAACCCCTCACACATCTGGACTCAGTGGTTTCATTTATCCTCATTGCACTAAATAATTTATCTGCCTTTACATGTTTATTTTTGTTAAAATAAAACTCATACTAATGTTGTTGTACAATACAATTCTAATAAATGAGTGATATTGTTTACTTTCCCTGTCCGGACTGAGTATTCACCTTCTTCTAAAGAGTTTGATTCAGGCGTCCACTGTCAGCTCCACACTTTATCAGGACATTTTATTGATCTTTTTAGTACATTCTGTTGTGGTACAATCCCAGAATAATCTGTCAAAAACCCCAGATTGTCAGAATTAAAGTGCATCACATGCATTAGTTGCATATGTTTAGGAAACATCCACAGTTACTACATATGCCAACTTAAAACATTTAAGATGCGATGTACACTAAGCTTGACCCTGAGCCCTAAATTATAACAAAAATGATTAAAGATTAAAAAACATTTACAAAGCTTTGATTCCATATTCTATAGCAGCTTTCTGTGTACAAACACAAGATTAAGTTTTGATCCAGAACAACTTGTTCTTGTTGTAATACAAAGCCAGACAACTAAAGCTGATCAGTAGTTTGTCTACTGAGTTGCGATCCTTTAAAGAAATTTAACAGAACAGAACTGGTTAGTTTTTCCACTGTAAACACTTACTGACATCCTTCACTGCAGTCTGTCATCATTAAGCTACTTACAGTTTCAATAGCCAAATAGCTCACTATTCAAGTAAAAACAAACTTGTTACAACTTCAAATACCTTCATCTCAAAGTTGGTAATGGTTACATTCATCTTTTCTGATCATTTATTGAATAAACAATATGATGGGCTGTAAAGTGAGATATCACCGGTAAATGAAAATGACTTATGACTTAAGTTAATTGGTTTTAACAAGTCCCTTTAAATAGGAAATTGTTCACTGAATGAGAGACTGATCTGATTTACTGTACAGGCATATGAGCCTCCTCTTGCATTTTTTATCTAGAATCTTTAAAAACATTCATTTGAGCCACTTGCCCTGAGCAAAATATGAGTCAACACATCACTGCTGCCTCACTGAATTATACTAAAAATGGAAGAGAAAGGTCAGACTGTTGCAATGCATTATTCTCACAAACATAGATCAATATACAACTGTAAAAGTCCCTATAGAAGTATTTTTTCCTTTCAAGGCAGTTAACACCTGGAGACAATGTGGAAGACGAATTGTAAGGCTTGTTCTGGTCGATCTGTCAAGAAAAAAAAAGTACTTCTACACAGTCCTGCCACTATACCACGACTGGGATCAAAATAAGACGTAATGCATCAGATATCGAGGTATGAAGCATCCAATGTGGGCTGAACCCCTCCAAGTTAATGGATACTCCATACGTATTAGTGTGCTTGGCTTAGTGGCAGTTTTGGCAGTTGGGATGACACGGTATGTTGTTGACTCGACATCTACAGCCGCCAGACGTGTCGCCATTGCCCTGTAAAACAAAACAAAACAGAAAAAAACACAAACTATTTAACCACCCCACAGGGAAAAAGGTGATTATGCAGTTGAATGTCCATGAATCGTATTCGTATTCACATTTGGTCCCCATCGAGCTTGTTTGGTGACCCAACAGATTTCTGTCTTGCACATCAAACAGCAGATCCAGTCACAGCCATCTTTTTTCTGGACGATGATGTCACACCGTGGACATTTCATGGCCTCTCCGTTCTGAAGCATGCTCTGCAGTAAAATAGAGGCAAATGGAAGATGGGAAAAACTAAACAATTACAAAACAAACACACACAACACAATTTTTAATCAACCCAAGTCATAAATGAACACTGAAGTGGTGTTGAATTACAGGAGAACAAATGTATTAAGTTAAAAATATATATATTATCCATGCTGAAAGCTTATCTGTTGTTAACACAGGTAGATTTAGACTGCCTCGGTTATAAAGCTAAACATCATGTCTGACCTACCTCCAGCATCTGCTTAGTTTGCTGAGCTGCTTGGTCATTCTCTGCTCTAATGCGCAGGTCATCTTGATAGTCCTTACAATTCATGCCCTTATGGATGGCCTGAAAACAATAATATTAATTATGTTTGATCGTTCAGCTGAAACTACAATAATGAACATTTCCTTTTCAGTCAGTGTAGAGTCTGATGGAGCTACCCGACAGAGGATGCAGTTGGTTTCCTTGCAGAGGTCACAGTAGAACTCATTGACTTCGTCCTCGTAGATGCACCACCCTCGGCAGTTGGGAGTCTGACAATGGAAGCTGTGTTCTGAACAGCTCTCAGCGATGCTCAGCCGCAGCTCCAGAAAACGCTGGTGCTCCTCTTCCGTGAGCAGCTGCCGAGAGACCGGGGTGAAAGGTGACATCCAAAATATTACCTCACGCTTTTAGTCGTGTTTTTAGAAAATGAACAAAGCACTGACTACTGAGTGAATGTCCAAAGTCTTTTATGCTGTAAACTTATGAAAGTAATTTTGGTATTCAACTGAGGTTTATTTCTGAGCACGTGAGTTAACCAGTTTGCTGTTTAAAAACACTAAATATAATTTTTTTTAAACCAGTCTTAAAAAAATGTATAAATTGATTACAGTTTTTTCCTTTTTTTAACTTAATTTGTTGATGTGTTCTTTGCTTTAATATCAATACAATTAGACATTAAACTGTTTGAATTTCTATTTAGAAAACTGGGATGTTCTCAAACTTTTGGCTTTTTTGAGTATATAAGAATGAGTGGGGCATATTTTATTTAAATATAACAAATTACATTTAATTGTGTGGTCTGTTGGACCAAATTTTCTGATTTCTGTAACTTCTACATGATAGCTTTTGATCCATGTGTTTTGTTAACATTTATTTCCCATCCAGGCTTCCAACTCACCTCTTTGATTTCTCGGTCCAGTAGCTTGCTGTCACAGTTGTCAGGGCAAGAGACCTCAGCATCTTGACTGTTCACAATTGTGCCTTTTAGACACTCCCTGAACATGGAAAGACACAGATACACGTACGGGAATGAAACACACAAATATATAAAATATTAGCCACGGATTTATTTTTCTCTAAAGCCTTCAGAGGGCTTCAAAGAAAAGGTTTTGTGTGTCTTTGAGTGTGACAAGGTGGATGAATAAAGATTTTCAATAAATGTTGATTTAAAAATAACTTTTTCTTTCTTTTGGCATTTTTTTTAGATTGTGTTTTAACTGTGTGAGTTTCGTCTTGTTAAAATTCACCAAAAAAACAACAATTCCTGGATCTCCTGTTCTGATATCTACTGTTTTTGTCTTATGATGAAACTACAGAGTGGGTCTTTTTCGAACCTGCAGAAGGTGTGGAGACATTCTCTGAGCACAATGCCCTCTCCTGGAAGCAGAGATGAGAAGCAAATGGGGCAATCTGTCTCTGTGGCGTTTGGGATGAGGTTCTGATCATCTGTTTCCAACAAGTGCAAATAGTTCATCTCTCGTTCCAACTGTTGAGCCTGAAGCACGAAGTGAAAGGGTTTTATGCATACCATAGAGATTCAGAGATGAGTTCGAAAAATTAAGCATCATTTTAAAGAAACAAAAAATCTAGAGGTGAGATGTGCTTTAATTTATATATTTTACTATTCGTATATTCTATTAACTTTGTTCTGGCCAACTATAAAAAACAATGTGCAACAAAAGTTAAAAATACATCTTTTAAAATGTAGTATACTTAAAATTTGATCAAAACAAAATAAGGATTGTAAAACCAGATGTCTGCTGTAAAAAAGATTTTCGTGTGAAAAATGCAGCTCTTTTTTTGTCCCTCAAATGCAGCCTGCCCTCACCTGTTCATACTGCAGCATGGCCAGGTGCTCCTGTTGCATCCGCTGAACCTCGTCCTGATCCGGCTTGTAGATGTCCGGCACCGTGTAATCCTCTGGCCTCTCCCCTCCACACATCTCACAGCCGGGGCGCGTGGGTTTGTTCACAAAGGTACACATGTTGCAGGCCCAGCCCAGCTGCATGCACGAACACACACATCCATTTTAAACTGGGCCGTGACTCGCCATGACAAACTGTATTTGCTACCATAAAGTTATCCTATGTGCATGTATGCAGTGAAGACCTATTACACTCTCTTTTATAAACAAGTAGCAGCGCAATCCAACAGCAGGTGTTTACTAAAATACCAAAAGTACTTCATATCATAAAAACCACAAATGAATGCCAGGAGTTGACAGAATCGTGATTTCTGGCTGTGTCCTAACCTGAGGTTTAGGAAGAACAGTGGGCTTAGAAATATTCGGGACTCTAGGTGGAAGAGGAGGTGGAGTGTCTTCAGTTTCTGGAGGAGGAGCAGCTTTCTCACCACCACTAGACCCTCTGGGATAAAGCTGAACAGGCGGCATCGACTCCATTATACCTTAAAATAGATACAAAAATCTTCAATCCAAAATCTTAACCAGTAAATTCTTATCGCCATCGGAAAAAAAATAAAATAAATGACTTTGTTCCAAACCCCAATGTTGTACATTTTATTGAACAAATTTGTACCAAATAGCAAAAAAGAAAAGGGTAATTAACAATGTCTGGCTTGTCTCTTTGGTTTGAAAAGATTAAATATGTCAAATCATAAATGGATATCAATAGTTTAAAACAAAGGATGTAATAAGGGCATTGCTGCCTGAATAAGCCAGTTAAAGTTCTGCCTGTAGTGTTTAATTTGCTTCTCTGCATGGAGGTTAAGGAAGGCAAATATCCAAGTATTCAAAGTATTTAGAAGCATTAAAACAGCCTTCCTGTAACCTTTGGTAGTTTTGTCAATATTGTTGTGCTTTTCAGACATTAATTAGAGGCACCGCGGCTAACTCGTCATATGTGCGATGTAAATTTCTGACCCTGTAGAAGTTGTTGCTCCTGGTCCAACTTGTGCTGATGCCGTGTGAGATGAACTGAGTGGGCAGAACGGATGAACAGGAACGCCTGGTCCCCGCTCTTACGGATGCCGTGGCGGTATAAAGTCTCCTGGTCTTGAGCGAGGCGCTTGCCAATCACCCATCGCTGCAGCGACGGGTGAAACCCAAAGTCGTGGCTGATCTGTGAATGTGAGACAAAGGCAAAAAACCCTGAAACACAGAAACAAAACTACCCTAATCTAATAGCAACTATATATCATAAAAAAACTACACTTGGAAACAATTTAAAAATAAAGGGTTTAAACCTAATCTTACGTCAAATATGTACCTTGTCTTTGAGTTCTGCGACTGTCATGCCAGAAGAAACCACCACAGTCACAGGAATGTAGTTATCTGACTGAGCATCCTCCACTCCAACCTTCAACCTAAAGAGCAGACTTATTTGTAATTGTTCATTGGAGAAAAAGCATTCAAACATCCACCCACCGCCAAACCTAGATCCTCTTAGATTGACTGACCTGGGACCAGACCAGACATAAACTTGGCCACCACCATGAAAAAAAAGGGCCCACGCTTTTTGCAGATGAGAAAACGTTTGGTCTAAATGGGAAAGTGCCCACCTAATGGTGTCCTGGGGGTAGACTCGGCTGCAGACGCTGACCGACACTGGGACGGAGAGCTCGGACAGCTGTTTGCACAGCCGGACGGCCTCCTCGGCCTCCCCGCTGCTCAGGGCCTCGCTCAGGGACAGGGCCAGCTCCTCTGCTGCAAAAGAACAATTAGAACCAGCTCCGTTTGTTTCCCTGTACAGTTCTTACATGTAGCACCGCCTTCCACATTCTGACATCTACCCGCTTCCAATCAGGTCTATCAGACCAATGAGTAACAGATTATGGTTTTTAACTGGATCTGGGGAAATTGATGGTTTATGACAATCCCTGGCCAGAGAACAATTGAAAACAAGTTTGTGGGGGGGAAAAAAACAACACTTTGACTGCAATGGAGTGGATTAAATAAATGAATGTAGCCTAAGTCAGCCTAAAACAAAAACAAAAGTGAGTTCAGCTGCTCACCCTGACTTATGTTGACTTTCGATGGGATTTCAGAGGCCATGGTTCACCCTGAAACGACAGGTAACGACAGGTAAACGAAATGTATGGCGAGAAACAACGCTGCTGAGGTTAATAAAACACATCAGGCTATCATAACGAACCTCCTCCGTTTGTGCTGACGTGCTGAAGTCCGCATCCAAAACAAACACACACAAAAACCAAAACAAGTCCGCTGTTCAGCGTGGGTATACGTCGACAGTTTCCGAATCCAAAAGCTGGCCAAAGCCGGTGAAAAGCAAGCCTTAGGAGGGGTTTCTGCCTTTCCCCTGCTGTTGTGACAGTAGGTATATTTTTCATCGACTGGCGAGTAAGAACGGAAAGTGAAACTGGTTCAAGTTCAGGAAGGGAACTTAAAGAGGAGTGTCTGGGCTCCGCCCTCACGTCCCAAAACCGCCCGAATCGCCCCTTTTTGACCAGCGACAGAAGTAACAGTGACAACAAGTAACATAGTGTTACCGTTGTTTTGTTTAATTCAAAATTAACAGATACGGTTGAAAGAAAATATCTGTTTTCGAGGTAGCCCGAACAGTGACCCTGAACCTCCAGCAGGGGGCGCACTCCGTCTAAAGATGGAACTGAATTTCCAGTTTAACTCTGCCGATGGAAATTAGACGGTTTCAGTTCCAAACTGGGCTTTTTATGAGCAACCCCCAAACCGTGAGATGAACTGAGAAAATCAACTGCATTCTAAATGGTATAATAACTAACTTTATGCTACTGAATTGAATGAGAAGATATTTTTAAGAAAGCCTGATAGATCATAAACAGGCAGAGGGAAAAAAAATCTTTCAAAAAGCATCTTCTTTGTGACATGTTCAAAGTATATGGGAGTTCATGGTCATTCCCATTGACTTTACCCGCAGAAACCACATAGGAGAAATGTTCTGCTTCCGGCCCAAAACTTGGATGCGGACCAATCACAGCGGCTCCAGCAGGAGGAGCTGGCGGCTCTGTTCAGCAGCGCACCACAAAGTTACGGAGCATCCCTGACTCCAGCTCTGCCTCCCTCCCTCCATCCCTCCCCCCCACTCACCACCACCACCACCACCTCTTTTTATTTTTTTGCCTCCTCTCCTTGTCTTGACATCGCTCACACCTGCAGCAGCCTTCCTCCCGTCTGCAGCCTCACGTCCTCTCCACCCCAGAGTGTGTTTTCTCGACGCGTCGGAAAGATGCTGGCTTGCACAGAGATGATCACCATGTGTCTGCAGTCGGCCAAACAGAAGCACTTTCGGGCTCAGCAGCAGCAGCAGCAGCAGCTGCTGAACAGCACTGGACAGGGGCTGACTATCTTTCATGATGTGAGTGGCTCGGCTCATTTTACCCAATCCATCCCTGCGTAAAAATGTTGATTTTTTGGCAATGTTTGTGCTCTTTCTTAACGTTCCTGTTTGACTCATCCGAATCTTTTTCCGTTTGGGAATACTGTCTGTAAGACGTAGAATTTGGGAAGTACTAGTTGGGTTATTGACTTTTCTATTAGTCCACTTTATTAAGATTCCCATGAGTGAAAACAGCAGGGTTTTATCTGATGTTCCACCGCCTCTGCGAGTGCGCGTGCACGTGAGAGGAAAGTAGGAAGAGCTGCCGCTGCTGCCTCTGCACGATAAATTAATCTCTCAGTCGGACAGCTTTTGGGGCTGCTGGGGGTTCTCCTCATTTGTTACACATTGAAACAGTCTGCACACTGGATGCACAAACACACACAATTGATTTCATATGTTTTCTGCCTTAGATTGTCTTCTTTTCTCTGTTTCTCACATGAAAAGACACACACACGCACAAAAAGCCACTAGGCTGAAGTGGAGTTTAGACAAATAACTGCCAGATTAACCTGCGTTGCTGCCATAGAAACCATTCATCTTGTCTGAGGTTAGGAGGCCAACGGTGTTTCCAGGTCTGAGCGCTCAACAACTAACAGCTTTGTGTCTAGACTGTCGCTAATGCAGCAGCCTCAGAGCTTTTTCCAAGTGACTACATCACTTTTGCAGAAATGCAGGTCCCTGAGGGGAAATTATGACATAACATTGTCTCAATGCTAATGTAAGTTTTTTTTGTTAGGGTGCAAATCCTGAACAGACCCGGACTGCTCTATGTTTATGTCCCTACTAAAGGCGTTGTGTTTGAACTGTCTGAAAACTGACAGTGCTGGAGATAATCATTTCTGGAAATTCTCAACGCTTTCTTTTACTGAGACTAGGGCTTTCTGTGTCCCCCCCCCCCCTTATTGTGAATGTACATTTTTTCCTTTAACAGTTTATTCATAGATCAATTTTTATCTGTCTTTGATGAAGGGGGACAATTTGAGTAAACTCATCTGGAAACATTCCCAACTGTAAGCAGGAAAATAACTCCCCTAACCGTGAAAGTGGAATTTTGTGTATGTCAAGTGAATACTCTAAAAGAAATCAGTGATGAGTCAGAAAAAGGAAATCTGTTAAAATGGCTCAAAGGACGGCCATTTCAAGTGCTCTAAATCTCATTGTAATACGATAAAAAATAACACTCAAACTTAGAAAAGTGATTTCAGACCTTAAACAAATGTATCTTGATGATCATTCAAAGCATAGGTGTGTCTAATACGCAGGCCTGGGGCAATCTGTCATACTTACAAGCTTGTTTCGGGCATACTGTTTAACGCTTGAATTATTTGATGCCACTGCTTAATTCATCTAAGGGTTATCCAATCCTCCAGTGTTATTTTGATTCCCCAGACTTTACCTTTTGTTCTTCACAATCCTGTCACTGGCTTAATTCCTGCCACCATGACATCCGACCAGCAGCACTCTGGGAAGCTGGTCTGACCTTTTCCTAGCTAGCTGTAAATGATGCATTATCATCTCCTGACACTGGAGAGCCCAAAGACACAGCCAAAACACAAACAAGTTTACCGCTACTTGCACTCTATTGAATGCAAGAGGAGGGAGGAATGCTGGTAAAATCCAATGGAATGTCGATAGGAGAAAAGAACAGAGCGCGAAGAATGTGTGTTTTATTATATTTAATGAAGCAGGACCACGGTGATCTCCCACCGTGCTATTTAAAGCAGCTTGTCACTTCAACCAAAAAACAGCAACTGCAGCCCTGCAGTCACCTTCCCGTCCTGACAGGTGACTCAAAAATAGACCAATGGTTGTGTTGTGAGGTGGTTTGAAATTACCCGGCTGGTGTTATAGGTCAGGATGGAAGATGAGAGAGACAGACGTTGACAGATGAAGGGCAGAGGTGTAGACCATGAGCTTGTTGACCTATAGAGAATGAAAGGAAGGGGTTGATTCGGCAGTTGTTAATAAGCTGCTGTTCAGCCCTGAAAAACATGTTTGTCATGCCCACTGCATAACAATGGACACAAATGACATAGGAAGGGAAATTAAGTCAGTAACACAGGCCATACTAAATTGAGTGTGGTGCATGAAGTGGAAGGCTTATCTTAAACTAAGTAGTTTCAAATAGCATTTTCCCTTCATGTCAAATTGGATTCTGCGTCAGTGTATTACTTTTTTAGCCATAATAACTGGTACTGTTTGTTTTATTTCATGCTTTGTGTTGAGGTTAAGCATTTTGGTATCTATTCTATGGACCAAAGGGTTCCTAAAAGGGATGCTGTGATGAATAACTTGTTTTGTCTCAGATAATGATCGCTATCATTTAAGATTGCATCTGCTGAGACTGATGCTAAATATAAACTCTGCATTATCCTGTAGCAGACAGTAGCAACACAAGTACATTAATGCAATTGAAGCATTAAACAAAATTGGAATACCGGTTACTGGTTTTCTGCAGTGACGTTGAATCGTCAAAGCTTCACTGGCCCTTTATCCGTTACCCCTTTTGGTACCACTTCTCAACAATTCAGAAATAAGACAGCAAGAGTAACTCAACAGCACAGGTGTTATGGAGACCTGCTATGGAAACCTATGTAAAAAAAAGAAAAAATGGTTGTTTGGTAACATGATACTTGAGATGGGGTCAGGAGACAGATGAGATGCCCAGTGAGACACAGCGCTACCAAAATCAAAAACACAGACCGGGTTATATTTAAAGACGACAGATGGCGGGCTCATGACGTTGATCGGTAAACAGTCAAGTGGATGCGGGTTCACTGATTGGGCAGCTGGGAGCAGGTGGGGGATGTGACCATTTGGACCAAATGAAGAGCAAAGACACAGAGGATCCTCTAATACAGCGAGCTCCATCCCCGTTGCTCAGGGCTGCAATCCTGGAGGCTTTAAATGTTTAGCTGCTGAAAGCCATGCTTTTAGGATAAATAGATCCATTCAAAAAGTTCTTCACAAGTGAATGAGGTGATCCCTGCTCTAACAGGAGAAACAAAAATAAAAAGGGGGGGACTGTACAATTGCCAATTATACAAAAAAAATCCAGTGGCACTTGTTCTCTCTGTCTGCCACTGACTCACACCCTTTACATGATCAACCATGAGACGCATTGTTTGTTTTTGTTCAAGTCTGCCAATAAATGTCTACCCCAATGTGAATGACTCATCCAAATGGAAGCTTATGTGCCAAACTGGTTTATAGTTTTACAGTTTGCAGATTCAGTTGACTTGTTGCAACAGGAAAAGCACTTGTGTGTAATTTAAAACACTAATTAAGGCTTCTCTCTTTTCATGTCAGTTGATTAGATGGTGTGCGTGGTAATGTGTCTCCGGAACTATAATTCTCCCCGTACCTCTCCCGCTATGTTTCAGTGAAAACAGTCTTTTGAGTCACTTGAAGTGAGTGGCGGGTCGCCCAGGACTTGCTGTGCCATCAAAACAGCCTGCCATTCAAGGAAATTGGTTAAACAAAGAAAAGACAGAAGCACTGTAGTGACTAATAATGTGCACATTAGTCGTTACCTTGGCAACCAAAAAAAATGCTAGCACGTATGACATAGTGAGCGGAAAGCTTTCAAAGACATATATTGGTAAATGTGTTCAATTAACGGAAACGGTTCCCCTTTACCAAATGCATTTTAATCAGATCATTTAGCCTTTGAGCTAATTGAAAACCAGATATCAACATGTTTTATCGAAACAGCTTTCTCAGGGAGGAATATGAGCTGTTTTCATGACTGAGGCATCTTCAGGATAATGACAGTCCAACCTTTTTGGTTCAACCTCGGTTGCCTTGAACTGCTTCTGAAATCGCTATTTACCTCAGAAGTGCTAATTGTTGAACCTTTTTTCAGCCTGACTATCTGTTAGCATTCGACAAAACATGACTCACACAGAAGCAGCTCAACAGCTTATGTAAATGTCCTTGCTCTTGTAATCGCTCTATTCAGTGCAATCTGACAAATGCACCAGGGACACCAAACATGATGTTTGTGTTTTTGACAAACTGCCATGATTGTTCACAATTTACACCTGCTTATTGCAAGCCTCTCTTAAGAGAATTGATGGCTGTCCCCCTTGCTTTGTGTTTCAGATTTTCCGCAGAGCCGACAAAAACGGTAAGTAAACATAATGTTTGCCGATGATTAAACGGTCAAAATGTGGGTGGAGGATAAGCACTTTACATTGATGTCTTCCTGTGAAGCTCCTTTCCATCACTGGCTTTTTCCACCTAATTAAAATGTTGTTAATATTATGGATAATAGCAAAGACTACGCTAAAACCTCTTGCGAGGTTTCTTTACCAGTCATTTAAATATAACTTGCAACACATTGTCCTCTGTGGTCAAATATGTGGACACGTGCACATCCATAATTTGGTTCTGTCATTAAGTCATGATTTTCTTACACATTTAACATGTCTGACCAATCCTGCTTTTTTAGTATTTCAAAGCAGTTGAACGGAGGCCCCCAAAGGACGTCTCTATTTTTAGCTTACAAAATACTCACATCACATACTTTTGTTCTTTTCAATAATGACATTTATTTGCATATTTTTACTGCACAAAGAGATCTGTGAGACATCTATTGCCTTATATCTGGCATATCTCCTCTAACAACTATTTCACTGCTTTACATCATCCAGAGATATTAAAGGCATGCTGGGAGTTGTTATATAATAAAAATACGTTTTTTGTTAAACCCATTTTCTTTGAAACTGTCTTGTCATAGTCTCATGAGCGATTGGGTTTGCTGCACAGAAGTTAGATGAAATGAGACGAAACTAAATCTTTGTGTTATGCTTCATCTTATTGCTGTTGGATAAGTGATGCATCTGAGTTTTGTTATCAGTTGAATTTTTGTACATTTGTAAAACCTATTTGTGGATGTTTGATCTTGAGTTGATACAAACGTCAGTCAGGAATTTTTTGTCATTTGTTTCCTGATTTTTGTAGTACAGCAGATT